TATTAAATCTATAACAAATCCTGTTTTATTAAAATTATAGATATTACTTAAAACTATACTATATTTCTGAATAGTCTTATTTATCTATTTAAACTAAGTATCTAGGACTTTAGGATTCTCTACTTTAGTATATTAATAGTTATAGCAGTATATAAAGTAGACTTTAAGCTTAAATATATATCTGCTAAAGTTATATATCTATTTTTCTTCTACAGTAGTAGGAGAAGATATAGTATTATATTTTAAAAACAGAATATTAGCTATTTCTTATATATATATAGATCGGGAAGATACTCTATATTTATCTAGTAATAGAATCTATTCTTTAATTGATTTCTCTTCACTAGTAGTCAATTTATAACTATTAGTATATAGATTACTCTTAAAAGAGACCCCTTTTAAATATCTGTGTAGTGTAGGCTCAGATATATTAAAAATCTTAACTATCTTTGTAATACTACTAAACTTATAATTTTTTATGGCTGATATAGCAAGTAGGATCCTGTCTTCCTACTCAATATTTGATAATTTAGACATTTTTGGTAGTATAGTTGGTATTTTAATTGCCTAAGAAAATAAGGTGTGTGGAAAACATGGATGACGCGTCACCCGCTTACATACGTCGCTCGCTTACCGATCACGTTAAGCACGATAAGAATGGGCTCCTTCCTTCCCTGCCAACCAACCAAATCGTTTTTATGCAATGGATCAAAGTGAGAAACGAAAGTTTGAGCAACCGACACCATATCCCGAACATGGTGATGACAATACTGACAAACGACGGAGGGTTGTCGGACCAACATTGCCTTTATCAAATCCGGCAGACGATCGCACACTAGACTCAGAGGGTGAAAATGAAAGCAGTGACGATGATGACATCGGTCCGAGTTTACCTCCTTCAGGTCCTATGAAGACCCGACTAGTTGATGCCAGAATACAAGGGGATACTTTAAATGGCCCGTCGACTGAGCAAGGCTATGCTGGCAAGGATCGAAGTTATCGAGATGAGTGGATGTTACAGCCTCCAGGGTCAACAGGGAGGACTGCAAGAGTGGATCCAACCAGACTGAGGAATCGAAAGTTTCAAAGTGGAAGATCAGCACCAAATTCCCAGTCAGGGGAGATAGATTCATCTTGGACAGAAACGCCAGAGCAAAAAATGAAACGTTTACAAGATAAAGTCATGGGTGTTAGCACATTTGGTGCAAACAAAGATCAAGTAACTCGACCTGCCAGAGCATCACAAGCCATGCAGGACAGAATCCAAAAGTATAATGTGAGTTATGAGGCAGTGTAGCACATTGCTAGTCCAATGAGTGCTTATCAATTCCAGGATGCTAAGCGGAAAGAAAATGTATCACAACCTCTTGAGGAATGTAAAAAGGGCGATGGGGAGGATCCTAGTAGTCGCCCCTTTGATAGGGAGAAGGACATGGCTATCTCCTCTAATATAACCAACTCCCAGCGTCGAGAGATGATTAATAAGGCCGGCGACTTTGGTTCTCGGTTCAGTAAGGGAAATTACCTATAACAATCGAATTCTGTATATAACAACATGTGCCGGTAACCATACCCTGGTATCTCCCAGACGTTCTTGGCTCGATTGACTGGTATTTCTAGATTGGTTGGTTTGGTTGGTACTGATCCAGAATTGTCCATGAACCCGTGTCCAGATAACGTTATTATACCCAATGCTCAGAGGAAGACCGGGCGCCGGCTGGCTGTTACGCCCAGGTAGGCCTAGGAATGGACCGGTCCCTGTGGCAAGGTAGAGTATTATTATATTGATCAGAATGGTGATATTTATTAAGTTCACTTCGAAAGATCAAGGATTCAAGACAGATAGCTAGATTAACTAAATATCAATCTGAAGACAGTTGCTAGAGTGGTTTTACAGAAATGGTAAAATAGTGAAATATTGATTATATATAGCTATTTTTAAAGTAGTAGTATATATACTAATAATATTAATTAAATATAAGTAATATATATAATCTATAGTTTAATATATATATAATATATATACTCCAGGTATTCTGCTATGTGTAACCACATATGCGGTATATCTATATCTTTATAGTATTTAGTAAAAGTAACTTAATTCTATATAATAAATTAATCGTATATATCACATACTTCTATTCTGCTGTAGTTGACTGCCTACCGCGGTATTTCCGCACCCTTATAGTATACTTAATAAAAAGAGATAATTTTTTCTATATAATAAATTAATGGTATATCCCTGGTAACAATACTGTAAGAGATTCTTAGAGAATATATCTTTATCTATTGTTCTATTTATTAGAATCTTATAATTAATATAACTCTATTATAATTTAACTAGAAACTCTAATAATTATAATAATATTAAAATTATTAGTATTTAAAATATATTATATAAATACTATATACTTCTATTTTACTGTAGTTAACTGTCTACTGTAGTATATCCATACTTTTATAGTATACTTAATAAAAAAATACTTTTTTATATAGTAAATTAATAGTATATCCCTAGTAACAATACTTGGA